GCATTCCTGGACACTGGCAGCCTCTTGCGGGAGACAAAATTGTAATTTTATGTAAAAAATAAATAATGAATTATATTTATATTATTACATTTTTATCATAAATATCACAAAACCAAATTTCCAAAGCGTAATTCTCCTCGAAGCTGCCAGTTCCTTTTCTATTTCTACAAATACAGTGTCCCAGTTTGTCATTCCATCTTTCATTCGTGGATTCTTTGAAATCGATTTGATCAAAGAATCTCCAGGTGAAATTTATAATTCCGTGGATAATTCCGAGGCACTTAGTACATTGACGATACACTTCCTGATATTTGGACCACATAGGGCCTTACCTTGATGGCAGTCTGCATGAGGACCGTGGTGGCATAGTTCACGCCCTTGGTACCGAGATGCAGCACCGCCGTATAACCCTGCTCGGTCGCACGTGCTAGGGCTTCGTCGATCTCGGCTTCACGACGGATTAGCGCGGGATGCACGAAGCGCCGATAAAGAATACTGGAGCCCTTAGTAGCCGGGCTTAGCAGCCACAGCACCAGGATGATTTTAATCTCATAGTAAAACGGGAACCTACGTAACAAATATTCAAAGCGTGTAAAATATCCCATGCGCTAATGCGCTCAATATTTCTCAGATTTTGAATTTATATATTAGGTGTTGGAATTAATTCGTAGCGTTTTTTAATGAAAGAATGTTATTTATTTCACATGAGCATTAAAAAATACATTAATGAAAGTACTTCCCATCACTTGTAAAACGCTACGAATTAATTCCAACACCTAATACATTTTATATACATTTTTGTGTGTACATATATGTATAAGTTACGACATTGCAGTGATATAAATATATTTACATGCGTTAAAAGTATTATAATATCCTGTAAAAAAAACCTACAAAATTTATTACATTTCCAAATTAACGAATAAAGCTATTCGAAAGTTATTCGAAACATTAATTCGACAAGGACGTGCTTTGATCTAACCGGAATTTTCAAATAAACTTGTCACGTTTTTAATACGTAATCATAACGTAATAAGAATAAAAATAGTTGATCGCGGGCAATCGCTGTGCCGTCACGCAGCTGTAATCTACTCGATTCGATTCGCGTCGCGAAAAATTCGTCACGGGCGTGAAAGTGAGAGCGGCGTGGAGAAATGCAATACACCGGTGTGCGCCGGGAGAGTATCAGGCATTTCGACGCCAGAAATACGCGGGAACTCGTTTCCTTCTTGGTTGTAACCCGAGTATGAAGGGAGATCTGGCGTGATGTTCCCTGAGGATGAGAAAGAAAGAGAGACAGAGAATAGAAGAGCAATGACGGAGAGGACGGAGGCAGGCCAGGGGAGGTGAGCGGGCAGAATCCTCAGAAGTGCATGTAAGCCAATATCTATCTCGTCCGAAATTAGACTTTTGGAATTCCTCACGGCGAGAGTGCGGCTTTCAAGACTGCGCGGTCCGCAGCTGGTTTATTGGCCCCTTGGCTTGCTCTCGTACTTGCCACGAGACTCTGAGATTCATCTCAATATCCGGTACGTTATATATTACGTATGTGCGGCTGCCCTCAAATCAATGCAACGCTGTTTCCTACATGTTTCAGCTTCTACTTTTTTAGGAACTTCGATATAGACTCACTTATATATTGATTTTCTCTTATAATGGAAAAATCGATACATCGATCATTTTTTTAATAAATATGAGTAAAGTGCTAATATGAGTCTCCAATTGTTTGATGCGTAAATAACATATTATACTTATAAAGCAATAAGATATAATGCGCAAATAATTGGAATGTACTTACAACAAATTTAACTGCGGACGGTTTCGATTCTGGACCTGAGTCCTCCTCAGTTGCGGAAGTCAAGTTCAAATTACGCAAACTGTAGTTTGTACTTAACTTCCGCACTGAGTAACTATTAATTGTATTTCCAATTGTGAATTATATCTCTTTATTACCTAATAAATATATTATTTACTTTCCAACAGCGTAAAGGCTCATAGTGGTATTTTATTTGATTTATTCTCGAAGCTGCAAAAATATTTTTATTTTTATATACTAATTATTATATGCTCAAGATAGGAAATATAGAGTTTTTTTTAACGTGTATTAACGGATTAATATTAAAAAATAAAATATTAATTCTGGTAATAATTATTTGCGATTAGAGTGTACATATTAAAATATTCTAATTAATGCGCGAGTGTTTTTATAAGATGATCTTGTTTCCGCGGATATTTCAATTACTTACTTATTATATTTCTATGAATAAATATATTAATATTAATGATAGATCTTAATCCTGTTCTATCAAGATAAGTCACACAAAACACATAATTTATGCAAATTATATAGGGGATGAATTTTTAATAGCAATGTATTTCTCACCAAAAACTAAAGAAGACGTCGGTGAATGTTTCCGCGCATGTGAACAGCGCGAATACTATCCAGTACATCATCCATTTAACCTGAAACCAAGGAAATTCTAGAGTAATAGAGGATTAGAAAAGTAGTATAAAAGAAGACTGCAAATAAATTTCATATTTATCATTTACAGTGTAAAGAATGTTTAAAAAATAATTAATGAGATAAAAAATAAATATTATATTAAAATATAAATATTGCTCTAGAAAAGATAAAAATATTACTCCGAAAATCTATATAATTTATATATTTTATTATTCACAAAAAGAAAAAACAAAGAGATTCCAAAGATAAAATTAAATTAGGTTCTATTATTGCAAACTTTTCTTATAAAATAAGTAGAGCGTAAAGATAAAAATTTATGATGGCTATGTACGTAGCAACATAAATATACTTTGCAAAAAGAGTAAAAAATTAGTGTTAAAAGATTCTCAATGTTTATTCAAATCAGTGTATTTGTGTGATGCAGATAACATTTAAGTACAAATTGCTCAATCACTTGTCATTGTGTGACAATTTGCCGTATGTATTTATATAAAATATTATTAATTATGTAAGAATAAAAACAGAAATGTTATAATCTTTTCGATCAAATTTTCAATGGAATCAACTTTTAAATTTTAAATTGGAATATCAAATCATATTTTGTAATTTAAGCATAATTAAAAATATACCAATTATATAAAATAAATAATTCTTTCTTTATCTTCAGAACGTTACTCTACTAAAAAAATTTATATAAATATTTTTCAAAAAATAAAAAATATAGGAGAATATATCAAAAAGTTTTATAGTTTATGTAGTTATTTTAAATTAAATATTTTCGTAATGTTGGATTTAAGGGTTAAAATAGCATTTGCTAAGCTATTTATTGCATGACTTTTTACTTATGTTTCTCACTTACATATTCCTTGACATTTTTCGTGCGCACTGCCTTGTAGGAAGCGTATGCCGGGTATAAGGTGCCGAAGACCAATCTGAAAATCGGATAAACGAGCCTATAAATAAGGGATCGCGGCGACACTATCGCCAGAAACACCGTCAACAATCCGACGTTATTCAACGTCATTCTTATGGGAAATGTTTGCAGCCAGTAACGGCACCAGACCATCGCTTGTCTCGCTAAAAGTTCGCCGATTCCCGCCCTATGAATTACCGCAACCGGTAATTCATTCGATCGCGATGCGTCCTTTTCAGAAACATTTATCGTCGATCGACGGTCTTTTCTCATATCCATTGTATCCATCGTATTAGCAATTTATTTCTCTCTATCTCTCTTTCTCTCTCGCGTTGCGCGACAACGTTTCTCTAATCGTGAAATCTTGAATGCTTCCGGAGATCCTGCGACAATCGTCGAACGAGCACGACGAGTCGAGCTGCAACACAAAACAGAAATTATTTGAGAGATATCGTTACCATGTGTTAGTGACGCAATTACGAATTTAAGAAGATTCAATGGATGAAAGATTTGATTAACGTGGGTACTTTAAGTACTTTAAGGTCTTGTTAGAGAAATCAACTTATCGGACTTGTTAAGGCTCCAATGAATGAGTTCGATGATTGGAATAATTATAGAAAAGAATGACATAGTTCTATTTTTTGATAAAATTAAATATTAACCTAGCAAAATCGTTGTAGCGAATTAATACCGACATGTGTCAGTTAGAAAACATTATAATGCTATGATAACATTCGAATATTCACACAGAAACAATTGACTAAATAAGTATAAATGAGAAATTTAAATTAATGTGTAAATGTATGTACACTCTAAGAGGCTACAACACTTTTTTTTGAATGGGTTTCAGAATGCAGTTTGCTCATCGAGTGATTGGTTCTTATTTATGGATTCTGCATTCCAAAATCCATTAAAAGAAAAGTGTTGCAACGTTTTAGTCGGTGAGTGTGTATATGTGTATATATATATATATATATATATATGTGTGTGTGTGTGTATATATATATATATATATATGACTGCCAAGGAAAAAAAAATTTTTTTTAATCGGTCTAACTCGGCTTAATTCAAAAGCTTCCATTTCATGCCAAAAGAACACCCCTAAATTTTTACCAAAAAGTATTAAGATTTAGAGGTCGCTAGTAAACGATTTTTAACCAAAGTTTCGATTTTCCTTAATACATATTTAATTTGATGCAAAAATGACTTAATCCGGATTTCAAACATGGTATTGTATGTTTTTTTAATCGCTGAACACAAATAATTCGTTTAACTTTACGATATACGCCTTAAGAAATATAACCCGATTATTGTAAAAAAAATTACCAAATTTCGAGTTCAAGATCGATTTAGCAAGGTCCCAAGCGTTTGAAATCCGGATTAAGCTATTTTTGCATCAAATTAAACATGTTAATTAAATTAAGGAAAAACTTTGATTTAAAAATCATTCACTAGTGACCTCTAAATCTTAATACTTTTTGATAAAAATTTAGTTTTTTTGGCATGCTAGCTTTTAAGCTGAGTGGCCGATAGGTTGGAAAAAAAAAATTTTTTTTCCTTGGCAATCTAATATATATATATATATACATTTTTTTTAAATCTCTAAAATATTTACATTTTGAATTTACTAAAACATTTGTTTTTCAATATATTAAACTCAGGTTGCATTTAAAAAAGTTTTTCGTACTTCTACATTATAGGAACAAAATATTGAAAATATAAATCGACGTAAAAAGTTACGCGACAGTACGTTGTGTATTTTAAACATGTAATTTTACATCAGATTGTTGGGTTCGTTTACATTCATCAAATATTTTAGCTGTTTGTTCAAACGATTTGCGCTTTTCGACGATAACATCATGAAATGGTCATCAAATTTGGGATTCCGAAGCAGTGCTTTCAATTGAAGCACGATCTGCCGATCGATATTTGCAATGACCTCGATTACTCTGCTCTCATTTAATGATTACGCAAGAAACTTATTATGGAGATCCAATTAAACACGCGATACGACAGTTCGTCACCGTGTCTATTATTTCTTTTTGAGATAAAAAATCGATTACAATTCACAATATCAACATATTGTAAGTTGTAATCAATTTTTTTTCTATTCAATTATCAAAAAGGACAGAATAAGTACTGTCTCTTATTTTTTCAAGTATTATTCATGCAAGATTTATATATGCCTTCGTATCGTAACATATGCATTGCAATTGAATAGATAAATTTTACATGTACATTAATAAACTAACAATAAATAAAGAATTGAATTTATTACTAATATAGGGAAAAAATAGTTTTGCTGAACAATCTAAAAATTTAGTTAGATACAATAACCGAAAATAATTTTGTTGGATCATTAAAATTGTTACATAGAATGTTCAAGCTGATAATATCCCAAACTTTTTGCAGCATTTATCATGTTTGAGCGTTCTACATAATTATTTTGATAATACAATAAAATTATTTTCAGATCTGTATTCCACTAAATTTTTAGATACTTCAGCAAGATCCTTTTTTGTAGCAGTTTAAATAATTTTATTTACTTATTCTTCAATTTATGTAATTATTATATAAATGGTTTCAAATAATTTTTTCATAAGATCACCTCTTATTTTTATGAACTTTGATTATTAATTAAGAGCACGGGTATTTTTATATGTAGGTATATAGAAATTATATAGTAAAGCGTAATCTGGCATTCAAATAATCCACACTAATTATGCTCATTGTCTTGATTTTATACACCAAAAATACTTCTGCAATTTATCTCACTAATCTATACAAAAATAACAACAAACTGTCTAAAAAAAATTCAACGTTTTCTTCTTACAATCCAATCAGTGCGTCTGTCAGATTCATTCGCGTCTCGTCTCCTCGAACTCCAGTCTCTGCCTGTTCGTGCCTGTGGCGTGGCGTGCGAGACAACGACACGACGCCTCGTCAGTTCTTTCGTCGTGACGAATTCTGGCGAATCGTTTCCTGCTCTGTCACCAAAGTCTTCGTCGTGCGTGTCGTTGTTCTTCCTCAGATTATTTTCTTGCGTGTGAGACCGAGCTCCCAAGTTAATGCGCCGCGCAATTCGTTCTTCTCGCGTATGCTTCCAGTTACAGACTAAGCGCGTAGCTGCGTCCGTTCGGGCATCGTCAACGTCGTCGACGTCGACGACGACAACAACGAGCTGCGGAGGCTCTATTTTCGCGCCTTAAGGCGCTATCACGCGAGCGCTGCTAAACTATGTCTGGAACCGCGGCTTTCTCGATCGTAATTCACCTGATCATCTTTGCGCCACGAATCGCTTCCGTGAACTCTCCACGTTCTGGAGAACTGCCTCGATCGAATCAAAACTGTTTATGTCCGTCGTATGTTGAAGTAAATAGAAATAATCATATAATAATTATATAATTGAGAAATATTATTTTCGGACAGAAATTATTTCGGAATATACATTTTTTTTCATAATTATATTTAATGAACAATTTGCAACTATAATCATTCTCGAAAATATTGAATAAAATGCTATTTCTTACAAGTTTAAAGAAGAAATCTATTAAAATTCAGTTGAAAATAAATGGAAAATAGAGTTTTATTATTATATAAAATATTGAAAGAAGCTTAATTTCGAACATTTTTAATGTTTAATTACTTTCAATGTAAAAATATTATTGCAGCTTGAAAATGTTACATAGGTATGAAGAACTTATTTCTGTTTGACATCGAACAAAGGTCAAAGAGTCTATAGACCAAAGTGAATGTGGAGAACTCGAAATATTTTGCCTTACAATAAGTCAAATGTTGGAAATCTCCAAAATGCTGTTTTAAATTAAAAGTAGTAAAAGTATTTGCGACAGATGTATTTAGAGTGTATGACCGTTTTTCCACCAGTGGGTCATCTCCGTATGTGCCAGAGGGGCAAGTTAATTATATGCACCAACCTAGATATCGCATCGGTCAAGCTTTATCAGAATGAGGATCGTGATTTAATTTTCCAAATGCCGTAATGTTCGAATTTAGATTCAGTCGAGTTATAAATCTCGCGCGCAAGCTAAATATTGGCATCACCTAAATACTTAAGTCGTGACTACAAACATGGGACAGGACAAATATCGATATTCCTAATACCACACACTTTAGATGTACAGAATAACACATAAGTCAGATGGGAAACATAATAGAAATATTGTTTCTCCTGAACATCACGTGTGTGAATGTTCTATGTGACAGTCTCTCAAAAGTTTCGACAGCACTCTGGAGGTCTCTAAAGTCTCTGGAGAAATAAATTAAGCAACGAATAATACGCAACAGTTATAAGGTGTTTGTAACTTTATGAATTAATTTTATATATTGTTGTATAATTAAATTTTGTTGTATATGGTGAGACTTCGAAAAAAGTTTCCGTCGTTTTAACCTGGTTTCTCTCGTCTGCGCAGAAGAGTTTCCTTATAAGAATAAAAACAATGGCTGCATTAACACGAGTTGCCAAGTCACTTCATCAAATCAACCGAACGAATTAAATTAGCGCGTTAGCGTCAATTCTTCGTACAGCGACAGAGAGGCTCACGACAGAAAATTAAAACCGATGTAACCTAAGCGAATTCGATTGTCTTATATGCCATAAATGCGATGATAAGATGCACCGTAATGTCACTTACCTCGATTTCACTATCACAAAAATTGCAAATATTTTCTTTATTTTATACTGTTTGTTGAATATTTGTCAGTACCTTTAATTATTGAGAAATCTCGCTGGTGTTAATTATAGTAAAAATTTATATAAATAGTAGAGTTAATATTATATAGATATTATTTATTATATATATTAATTAAAATTATATAATATTAATATATAATATTAATATTATATTATGTTACATATTAATTTAATATTATATATTAATTATAAATATATATTAACTAAACATAATATATATTATATGTGTTATAATTAATATATAATAATTAATACAATAATTCATACATTATATATAAATGTTATGTACTTCATTACCATTATTACAATTATCACTCTGTGCAAAATATTTTTTAATAATTATAATAGAATACCGACAAATATCACTGATATCTCTATTGATTGTATATATTCTGGGTGCGACACCTCTTGACGTTTGTGATGCGAATACGACGAATATCGCGAAACTGAACGAAAACTCCGCTCGTACAAAATCGTGAACGATCGCAGCCGCAGATAATTCAATGATTATCACCAATGTCGTTCTCTGCCGCGGATTACGTAACAGGGCGTCCCTATAATGCGCATCGTCCGCATCATTCATGACGAACGCGATCGCCCGCGACGCGTTATTCACGCCTGGCCGCTTCCGGTTCCGGTTCCCAGACGAACCCACATATGAGACGTCCTTTCGATTCGCTCATGGGATATCGGGACGAAGGAGCTAG